GGCAGGAGAATGGCGTGAACCCAGGAGGCGGAGCTTGCGGTGAGCAGAGATCCGGCCACTGCACTCCAGCCTGGGTGACAGAGCCAGACTCCGTCTCAAAAAAAAAAAATGCCTTAAAAACACATACAGTCATGTGCCACATAACAATGTTTCAGCTCACAACGTTCCATGTATATGACAGCAATCCCCTAACATCAGAATGGAGCTGAACAACGTCTATCACCTAGTGACATCACAGCCATCATAATGCAGCAGCATAACACATTACTCACACGTTTGTATAAAGTACATCATACTTGATAGTGATAACAATGATGTTACTGGTTTGTATATGTACTATGCTATAATTTTTATAATTATTTCACGGTGTACTCCTTCTACTTATCAAAAAAAAAAAAAAAAAAAAGTTAACTGTGAGACAGTCTCAGGCAGATCCTCTGGCAGGTATTCCAGAAGAAGGCATTATCATTACAGGAGATGTGTGTTATTGCCCCGAAGACGTTCAGTGACAGAAGATGTGGAGGTGTAAGACAGTGATATTGATTATCCTGACCCACGGTAAGCCTGCTGTGTCTGATGATGTCTTAGGTTTTAATAAAAATGTTTACAAAGTAAAAAAAAAAAAAAAAAAAGAAATAACTTACAGATTAAGGATATAAAGAAAAATGTTTTTGTACAGTTGTACAATGTGTATGTTTTAAGCTAACCTCTTACAGGAGAGTCAAAAAGTTAAAAAGTTTAGAAAGTAAAACAGTTACAGTAAGCTAAGGTTAATTTATTCTTAAAGAAAAATATTCTTTATAAATTTGGTATAGCCTAAGTGTACCGTGTTTACAAAGTCTACAGTAGTGTACAGTAATGTCCTAGGCCTTCATATTCACTCACCACTCACCCAGTGCAAATTCCAGACCTTAAGTTCCATTCATGGTGAGTGCCCTATGCAGGTGTAACGCTTTTTATGTTTTACACTGTATTTTTACCATGCCTTTTTAATGTTTAGGTTCATAAATACCTCCCCTTGCATTACAGCTGCCTGCAGTATTCAGTACAGTAACATGCAACACAGTACGGTTTGTAGTCTAGGATCAATAGGCCATACCAAATAGCCTACGTGTGTAGTAGGCTGTACCATCTGGGTTTGTGTAAATACACTCTATGACGTTTTCACAATGACAAAATCTCCAAACAATGCATTTCTCAGAAAGCAGCCCTCCTGTTAAGTGACTCACGACTATACATCTTTCTACTTATATGAGGTACCCAGACTAGATAAATTCATAGATGCAGAAAGTAGGATACAGATTACCAGGGCCTCAAAGGGACAGTAAATTGGAAGCTATTTTAATGGGTACAGAGTTTCTATTTGGGATGATGAAAACGTTCTGGAAACGGATAGCAGTGATGGTTACGCGACATCATGAATGTACTTAATGTCACTGAATTGTACACTTTAAAATGGTTAAAATGGTCAATTTTATGTTATATATATTTTACCACAATTTCTAAAACCTCTATTGCATGGCTATGAAGTTTATTAAGCCATTCTCCTGTTATTGAATATTTGGGTTCTTTTTCCAAATTTTTTAACAATTAAAAATAATACTATGATTAAAAAAAATCCTTTGACTCAGCATTTTAATTTGTGGATATTTATCTTATGGTAATAATTAAGAAGATGTATAAAGATACGTATTTTCCTCCTGGCACTATTTGTAACAGTGAAAAATCAGAAACCTAAATAACTAATGCATAGGATTAGTCAAATAAATTACAGCACACAATGGAAAATTAGAAAGCCCATAAAAAGTATACTGCAGATATATATCTATTTGTATTAAGGGGGAAAATTAAAAATAATATAGTTGGCAAGATAAACTTTAAAGGAAGTAAATATTCACACGTGCACAAGAAAGTATCTGAAAGAATATATAATGGGTTTTGCCAGCGGTCATCTCTAAGAAAATAGGGTTTCACTGCTTTTTTATGCTCTTTTTCTTACTTGTCCATATTTTCTGATTTTTTGGCAATGCACGCAAACTCTTTTAGTAAAAAGAAAAAAATTAATGAAAGAAACTTAATTTTGAATACAACATAGATAACTCCTCCCAGTTATTTTTCCTTTCTCAGAAGTGTACCGGACGAAGTTAACCGCACCTCCCCCCAAAAAAGAAACACAAAATGCCAACTGAATGACTGTCTAAAGCTTGTTATTATATGAAACCAGCCAATAATTGTTTCCCCAATCTGAGAAACTAGACATTAGATTATATAAAGATATCCCTTTGGGCTTTTGGTTTGCTTCCTGGTTGACCATGGTAGGTATATTACAAAGCAGTAATGAAAATACTTTCTATTTTTGCCAGTGAGGTGGGTTTTCTTTTAGAAATGAGGAAGACGATGTCCCTGAAGAGTAAGGCTACACACAAAGTGAGACATTCAAGTACCTCAATGGAACCTAATAAGATTAGAGCAAGAAAACTAAAACACCTTTAAGAGTATCCCAAAAGCTTGTGTAGCTGTAGAAGGATTAAAACTGTGAATTTTGAGGTACAGGCAAACAGATCCAATCCTAAAGGCATTTTTGTTTGGGTGTCCCACACATTAAGTTGTAAATCTGAAACAGGAAACTTGAAATCATTAAGGTCACATATTTATAACATCATATTCAATTAGGTTAGAAAAGTGCAATATCTGTCATCATGTCATAAAAAGATGTGTTTTTCTCTCAGATCTCTTATAAAGAAAAGCTCCCTATATTGTTAAGGATAGGGCTGTTTTCAATCAGTTACAAGGAGCAATTCAATTACTAGATGGTTTAGTGCAGTAACTGACTCCAGACTAATTTAATTTCTTTAGGTCTCTAAAGATCAATTGATCTGATTTGTCCCATCCCCAAAGGCTGTTTATGAAAAATTCAGACTTAAATATCTGGAAATGAAATCCAAAACTTCGGCCAATTTCACACTACTTAGGTCATCTTGCAAACTTTCAGCTAGTCATGTAAAGAGTGCTGTCTTTGCCCTCAGACCATTGAAAGCTACTTAGCTTCGTGTACATGTGAGTGCTCCCACATCAGGATGCTTATTCAATAAGTGGAAAATGTGGCCGCATGCATTATCAAATCTGCCGTTCTAAAGAGCAGTCAGACTGAGTACCTCCTATCTTGTAAACTCATGTGCAACTACAAGGCTATTTTTACTCTAGGAGTAGTTTATTAAGACTATGAAACATAGAGTTACATGGGATAAAAGTTGTTAGATGAAATGCTCATATAACAAGATGAAGAACTTGTAATTGTTTTACATTTTTAGATTTATAAAATGCTGTCATAAATGCCAGTTTATTTGATTCTCAGAATAAACCTCTGAGGTGAGCAGGGTTATTTTTTCCATTTTCTAGATGAGGGAACAGACTCGGAAGTCTGATGACTTCTTCAGGGTCACTCACCCAGGAGAAGGCAGAGGTGAGACTCTAAGCCCTAACTTTTTTTCTCCCAATATATCGTACGTACCCCCATGGTCTGAGACAGAAAAATATGACACACACTATAAAAGCAGATCACTATCACCCCACTGCATCACTGTCTCCATTCTTACTTCATACCTGAATAAAACTGAGAAAAAGTTCACTTATAACAATCCCAACTGCATAAACCCACTGCAGCAGGGCTTCTGGCCCTCAGAAACAGGAAATAAAGTCATGCCTAAATGAAGTTGCCTTTTGCAAGTGGACTCCTTTGTTGCCCCCCACTGCTGGTACCACATTCTCAGTGACTTGTATCCCACCTAATTTGAGAGTTACCACTTGCCTTCTCTCTGCACTTTGCAATGGATTTTCAATCACAAGCTCAAGTTTCTTTTTCTGATCTCGACACTTTCAACCAACTTGTCAAGCTCTCCAACTATTTCATCTTTCTTTTCTGCTCAAATCCCATAGTTCCTGCCCAACATTCAGCCTCTCCTGCTGGCTCCTCTGCTTCCCCACTGAGCCTCTGAGGCTGTTCCCCTAAATCAAACCTCCACCTCGCATTCTGCCATTTGGGAAGGCTTAGGAAGGCTGAGACAGGGGTTGTTAAAATACGTAATTATCTCTTAATTTGAGTTGCCAAGATAGGTTAGACAAGTGCTGAGGTCAGGAGATGTGGCTATGTGGGTAACAAAGAGTGCAGCAGAAATGTGCAGCAGTTAGTAGGGAAATCACACAAAGATGTAGAGATAAAGTAAATCAGTGGTTCTGGTGGCTAGGGAACTTCCCTGGTCAACCAAGACATTGGGCCACATAAAAGAATTAGTGTGTTTAAGAAGTACAAATAATCAGTCAGGTTTAAAAGTCTTCTCTTTGAAAAACAATTTTTGACGTTCACACTGGGCAAAATATGTATCGCCATATAGTAATTACTCATCACCTCAATGGTCTCAAACTGCATGAACCATGTTAATTGAGTAAAAAGTAGGGTAAGTTACAGGCACATGATTTCACTTGTCTTTTTAGAGGTCCTGAGGCCTGCCTGATGTCTCTCCTACTAAATATAAGCAGTCTACTGTATTGGTAAAATTATGTGACCTTGAACTAAATTACATCTCCTTGTTTTAAAATTCCAAACTACCCTTACACTCTGTGTGTTAGCAAATATATCTACTTGGGAAGGTAAAAGGCTATCACAGTTCTGTTTCTCTACAGACTGCCACTCATTGAGACAGGAAGCTTAAGAATATCAAGAGGACTAAGCCTTTAATAACAACAAAGCCCTATTTTTTATAGTAGAATAAATGTCCTGACCAAAGAAACTATTTCACTCAGAAATTAAGCATATAATAGATCCAGTCACAGTAGCTGTCAGACTTAAGCAGTTGTGTATGTACCAGGAATAGGGCACAGAGAATAGAAGACTATACATAGTAAAGTTATGATTCTCTGGTGTCGAAAGGAGTGTGTTGTTACAAACTCCCTCTTCTCTTGATCTTATCTGAACAAGAAAGTAAACAGAAAATTCTCATTACCTCTCAATGTCAGTGAGCCTGGAGGAATCCCGGAATCCTTTGGCAAAAGGATTGCTATCTATTTTCAGCTTCGTTATCTGGAGAAAGAATGGGTACACAACAGTATCATTTCTGAGGTCAAGGAAGTAAAATCAGAAATAGTTTGTTCATTCTCTATAGCACACCAAGAATATCTTAATGTTTCTCAATGTCGTGAGAAGGGTGGAAAGTGCTACACATGTTCACGAGGGACAAATCCCACCCAGGTGGGATGGGAGGGGAAGGCCTCAGAGAGGAGGTATTGAGGACAGGCTGGAGGTCGGCAGATAGATACAATTAGGGATGGGAGCCTTTGAGGCAAAAGTAGATGTGAACTGGGGTGTGTAGTATTTAATATATTACATAATATGCCAAAGACTAGGGCTGAACTGAGGAATGGGAGAGCCACCTAAATGGGATAATTATGCAGAATTCCAGCACTGATAGGGAACGAAAGTAAGAATGCAGTCTCATTTGACTTGGTGACATCTTTTTTAGTACTGTGAGTACATATACATACCATAATAGATAAAAGGTAAAATGGCCAATAATAGCCTCATGTTCAATATGATATTGATATACATGACATAAAGCCTTCTGAATAGAAATTTTCTCCTATTTCCCTTTCCATTTGACTAAATCAGAATCAAATTAGTCCATCTTTTGTTATCCTTCCGTGAAATGTTATTTATAAATTCTGTTTTTATGGAAAAATACATTCTAATAATAATTACAGTCTGAAATATTAAATGCCCATGCTGTGGTGTTCAGAATTCCCATAGTACTACTATTAGTGTAGAAAGATCCATGAAATTGTATGCACCATGCCTCTGAAGGAGAATACATTAAGTTGCAACGAAAAAATACAGGAAACACTGATTAAAGGACACTCAACATGGAAAATACTGGAATTGTTAGAGTTGAACGGAAGCTGAGAGACCATCTAGCCCACGGTCTTATCCAACAGATAATCACACACAGACTCAAAGAGCACGAGGGCCAAGATTCAGCTGGTCAGTAACTGAATTAGAACCAAGAAAACCTTTAAGGAGTCATAGCTTCTCAGTATCAAAATTAGAACCCATGGTCACCTTTAGAGAGAAATGCATGCTAAAGATTCTTAACATGGGGAAAAAAAGTTACAGGCATGTCTTCTTCTTTCAAAGTAAGGAGTACACAATAACAGATAGTTTGAAATACCTCTTGCCAGGCCGGGCACTGTGGCTCACGCCTGTAATCCCAGCACTTTGGGAGGCCCAGGCAGGCAGACCACAGGTCAGGAGTTCAAGACCAACCTGACCAACATGGTGAAACCCTGTCTCTACTAAAAATAAAAAATTAGCCAGGCATAGTGGCATGTGCCTGTAATCCCACCTACTCAAGAGGCTGAGGCAGGAGAATCACCTGAACCTAGGAGGCAGAGGCTGCAGTGAGCCGAGATCACGCCACTGCACTCCAGCCTGGGTGACAAGAGCAAGAGCAAGACTCTCTCTCAAAAGAAAAAAAAAAAAAAAAGAAGAAGAAAAGAAATACTCTTGCCAAAAAGCAACTTTCTCCCCAGTCGGAGTATATCTATAAAACACTTTAAACTGTTAACACATGAGGAATTTCTTTTTTCATTTCAAAAGAAATGTGGTTTTTTTTTTTTTTTTTTGGCCGGGCGCAGTGGCTCACGCCTGTAATCCCAGCACTTTGGGAGGTCGAGGCGGGCGGATCATGAGATCAGGAGATCGAGACCATCCTGGCTAACCCGGTGAAACCCTGTCTCTACCAAAAACACAAAAATTAGCCGGGCGTTGTGGCAGGCGCCTGTAGTCCCAGCTACTCGGCAGAAGAATGGAGTGAACCCAGGAGGCGGAGGTTGCAGTGGGTCGAGATCCCACCACTGCACTCCAGCCTGGGTGACAGATATAGGCTCCGTCTCAAAAAAATAAATAAATAAATAAAAGTAAAAAAATAAAAATAAAAATAAAAAAAGCAATGTGTTTTTTTTCTTTTTTATGGTTTTGAAAGTGATCTAAACCAAGGCACAAGCTGCAAAGAAACTATTTATGCCTCGCTTAAAATGAAACCCCCCCATACTAACCCAGCCAGAAAGACTCTTCTGTCAATAACACTGGCAAATTATAAGATTAACTCTTTGATAATATTAATTTTAAAAAACATTTGCTCACACCTGTAATCCCAGCACTTTGGGAGGCCGAGGCGAGCAGATCACAAGGTCAGGAGATCGAGACCAGCCTGGCTAACACAGTGAAACCCCGTCTCTATTAAAAATACAAAAAAATTAGCTGGGCATGGTGGCGGGTGCCTGTAGTCACAGCTACTTGGGAGGCTGAGGTGGGAGAATGGCGTGAACCCAGGAGGGAGCTTGCAGTCAGCCGAGATCCTACCACTGCACTCCAGCCTGGGCGACAGAGCAAGACTCCGCCTCCAAAACAAAGCAAAACAAAAACAAAAAAAAATACATTTGCCTCAGAAATGCTCATTTGTAGCCCATGAACATTCACTGTCGAGCAGCTAAAGAAAATAGCTATGCTACGGCATTGGTAAGGAAGTCTTGTTTCATCCACTCATTCCGACTAGGACTTGTTTTTGAAGGTCAGTTTTGGGAGGGAAGGAGAAAATATTTTTTTGTTTGAAATAAATTACAAACATCTTCTAAAGCCCAGGCAATCAATATAGTCTACAATTACAAATATCAACAAGATTTTAAAATCCTCCAGGACATGAGCTATGCCTCTTTGTAATGAACAACTATATTTAAAATACATTCTACTTCTGAAGGGCTTTATAGTTCATTAATATGCTTTCACAATAATTCATCAGCAAATAATGAGGATTAATCACCACGCACATGCACTGCACTAGATGTTGGGATGACACGCACAGCTAATCAGAGCTGGAACTGGTTCTAAATGATGTTAAAGAAGATGGCACCACCTCCAACACACAGTTAGAGACATTAAGGGTGAATCAAACCCACAGGAAAATTTCAAACTGAAACTGTGAGGTGGAGCAATAAAGGTAAGGCTGCCTTTAAATAGCACATTTATAAAATTGAAAAGTAAACAGGCTTGCCAATGGATAAAATTTTCTACAGACAACAACAGATAATATATTTGATGAAAAAATCATTTTGAAAGAACTGTTTACAGCCATCTCTCTAAGACATAAATATATCAAGCTTTTTCTGAGTCTTTACAAACGAAAAGGGTAGAAGGTATTACCTATCCGTTCTAATGATTAAAGATGGACTTTTGACATATTTTCTCTCTGAAAAGAATTCTGAAAATCACATTTCTTGTTCTTTTTCCAAAGATAAAGACTATTGGTTCAGAATATGATTGAGAAGTTATCTTAAATTCTTCAGTGCCCTAATACCACAGAAAATACATACTCTCAAAACACGTGTTGCTCAACTGATGTGTCACCATATCTAATAATACTGCCATACTCTGAGCAAAGGAGTAACTTAAATTCAACATGAGTTTTCAGATTTCTTTGAATTTTCTCTCATTATGAGAATTACCTACTTCGAATATCATTTTAATCCAATTTTCATAATTCCTAGGAGTATCAGTGGAAATTTCTTTACATTTTGATATAATTTCAAACTTCAGGAAAGTTGCAAGTATAGTACAAGGTGCTCTTATACACCCAGATTTATCAATTAACTACAGCAATGATTTAATTTTAGTGCACTAATTAGAAAAAGAATTCAAAACAATTACTTTCTCTATTTCTACTTAATCTAATTCTAGGGAAAATAATTGCTTTTGCACATGAGAGCAGAAAAAACCTGAATGGATTTATTATCACTAAAATCGTATGGGAATTCTGGGTTGATGCTAAACATTTCTGAACAGCTTTTATGGGGTATTAATAATTAGCAGCACAGAGATTGTGGATTAAACTTCTTTGTGAGCCCACCATGTTCCTTGTAGCCCACTGTCACTAGACTCTGAATCTACTAGGGTGTCCACAATAAGAACCCCACAAATATTTGTTGAGCTTTACCTCAAGAACAAGCACAGTCAGAAATATGATCTCACCTTTTCACCAATTATGAACTAAGTGAAACCATGAATTTACAGGAAAAGTATTTCATTTTTTAAATTTAAAGATAAAATAATTTTTAAATAGCAAAATTTTAACATTCTAGGTAATCATACATTTTAAAAGGTCAGACATAGAGTTTATGCCACAATATTTAAATAAAGACCAGTAGCTATAAAGAAATTCATTTTTTAAGGTGTAGTTTTACATCTCTTTATGAAATTTGGGATAACAACAACAACAACAACAAAAAACACTTGAGAACTGATGAGAAAAAGAAATTGAGTTACAGTGATTTCAGTTGGACACCATTTCATTCATGTCCGAAGAGAGGATGCCTGAAGCTTGTAATGCTGTTGAACAAATCACCTGTATCAAACGTAATCCTAAAAGAAGTATCAAAAATAAATCAGCTACCAAACATTGTATGTACAGAAACCAGAGGTATGGCTTCTTTATAACTCAAAAATTCTTAAAAGCAGCAAAGTTTCTCACTTCATCAAGAGAAAACACTAACAAGCATGGTTAGTAGTATGTGCTTAAGAAATGCTGCTGTTTAGTGTGGGTCTACATATATCCAAATTACTAATTCAGTCTAAAACACAACCCTGCTTTTTCATGTATTATTTGCAATTCCTAACCAGAATGTTCACTCTTTTGGCATCTCTATTATCTTTAAACAAATGTGTGGAGGGCAGATTGTGACACTACCTGCTGTGCAAAAGAGAAGGGGACCTTTTGCAGTGGTTATTCTGTATAGTATCACTGGACTCTGAATCCAGCTAGGGTTCCCAGCCACAAGGTAAAATTGGCCCTCAGAGACCATTTCTCCAATTATCAGGAAAATATCTGACCAAAGGCATTTAAAAATGAAACTTGACCTACACTTCAACTCTACAGCAATGGTCTGCCTGCTCAAAAACAATGCATGACCTTTCAATCTTAAATTATAAAATAGTTTGTTGAAAGTGTAATGTATTTAGCTTTTATCCAATAATGTAAAGAAATGCAATCATTCGCTTGCAAAAACCAGAGAAAGAAACAGCAAATAAAAGGTCCTATTTTCATTACTTATAAATGAAACTACAAGGCACAATAAATGAGGAATTTTTTCACAAATTGTTTTGGAAACTCTGACTTGGATTTCAATAGACATAAAAATAGCAGTCATATCCAAAGCTTAAGATATATGAAAGTGGTCCTAAATGTGAATTTTTAAATCTTCCTCTCTTTTCTCCTCCCTCTTTGTTCTTTTTATGTGAGAAAATTCTAATACTATACCTAGTATATATTTACTTTATTTCCTATATATTTATTATATGTTATAGGCTATTATATGCTGCAGGATAATTATTGTATGTTATAGGAAAATTACTACACAAACTTGGTAGAGCAGTGAAGTCAAAGTAGATGGTAGAAGGCCTAGAAAGAGTCAAGGATAACTCTAGAAAATGACACAGGACTAACGAAAATGCTAACCCACAAGTTCATTTATTCACTACACATATGTTTACTGAGCACCTACAAGATGAATTTTGATTGGTCTTACGAGGTTTATAAACCATTTGCAAAACTGGCCTGTTAGGACACCTAATCAAATTGTTGACTATTAACTGGATTTCTATTTTAAAGGCATATGGCTTTGTGCAAGGGGCTATGGTTTTAAAGGTGGATATAGAAAAATAAACTCAGACATAGTAGTATCTATGAGAAAGTTAATTCTGAATTTAGTCACTTTCATTGTGGTTACTCAGCAATGAAATGACATACTAATCATATTTATACTTAATGCAAGAAAGAATAGCTGGGCACTGATGGCTGGATTTTGATGCCATTTATGATATTAATTAGAAATAAACCTTTGCAAAAGGAGCAACTTGTGTTGAAATGTGTGTATTAGTATCTTCACCTATTTCCATTACCCATATTTTCAAAGTCAGTTTTCGATGACACTGTCAGTGGTCACCACTTCCTTGGCCTTGCAATCTATCATGATGTCACCAAAAAGATGGAATTAAAACCCATAAGATCAAAACCTCATACTGGTTCTGTCACTTACCAGATTTGTGACCTTGGGTGAGTGTCTTAACCACTCTGACCTCAGTTTCTAATTCTACAAAATGGGACTCGTGGGGCCTTCTTCAAGGCATCAGTGTCAGAATTGAATGAGGTGTTTAGAAAAAAATGTGGAAAGAGTTTTCTAAATTAAAAGTAATAAATCCAAACCATGAATTTTAACTGGATCCTAGTTCAGAGGGGGTTTGGGGACAGTTGGTCTATCCTGAAAATTTTAATATAAACTGAGTATTAGGTGATATAAAGAACAAATTCTTATAAATTTTCTTAACTGTGATAAAGATGTTGGGATTACAAAAATAATGTCCTAATTGTCAGAATAGGCTTACAGAGTGTTTAGAAGTGTCATGAGGCATGCAACTTAGTTTTAAAAGGGGAGGGAAGAAAATGGGAAGGAAGAGGGGAAGTACATATGCATCTAGAGAGAGGGAGAGGGAGGAAAGAGAAAATTTGGGGGAAAAGAAAATTTGGCATTGCTGAATCTGGGTGGAAGGCATGTGAGGTTCATTTTACTATTTGTTTAGTTTTTTGTATATCTGAAATTTGTTCTAAATAAAAAATTGAGTGGAAAAACAAGAATGAAAAAATGTCATTAAAGATGTGGCTCCAGTTGGATGCAGTGAGTACTAGCAGATATTCTGACCTCTTGTTTAAGATGATCATCATCGTGTTACACTTGCTGATGTGTGGTGTGAGCAGCACATTTGTTTAAAAAAAAAAAAAAAGAGCATAAAGAGTTGATGCCCTCTAAAATTGACATCTCAGAGTCTATCAGGGTCAAGAGCTGAGAGGGGGTGAAGTTCTGCTTCTTCACTCAGAGCTTAGAGGTTAAGGGCACCCCCTCTTGAATCTTAACCACCTGAATTCAAATCTGCATTGGGAGGAGCAAGGTCACTTCATATGACTTAAATTTTAACTCGTCCCTCAATTACCCCAACTGTATGATGCTGAATAAAATTACGATTGTTCCTATCTCACAATATCATTGAGAAGATCAAGTATGATTATGAATTCAAGTACTGTCTTGCACATAGTAAGCACCCAAATGGTAGTTATTGTTATTTGTATTATGTAAATAAGACCCTCCTATGATATGAGAGGTCCCACCAACACTTAGGCAGGCTTGCTGTCTCACCTATTAAACCAAATCTCAGGCATTATACTTTAAAGTTTACTAGAAATTTTAATTTTTCTTTGTCTCTATAATTTTCACTAAAAAAATAAAGAAGAAACCAATGTACTTCTTCTTGCTTTGGCCCTCTTTAAAAAGAATTATGATAAAAGGAATGAGGTTTCCACATGACAAGTGTCTATGTCATTCCCAAACATCAATAAGGTTTCTTAAGTTAGCATAAATTTAAATTGTTATATTAGCATGGTATATATTATAAAAGCCATGAAATCAATTAGTGTAAAATGAATGGAATGTTTTAGGAATCTTTTTGGAGCCTATGATATTTGTATTCCATGTACCCTCAAATAAATTAAAAACAGGATTGCTGGTTTCAGTGTTCCAGATTCTCAGAGAAATAGCATTAGTGCTTTAGGCCTTCGAAGGCTTCCATCTAACCCCCAACTTTTAGCTTGGGCATTCTGTGAATGTTTCCACTCCTGTGTTACCATGTTGGAGATAATTCAAAGGTTACAATACTTGTCTTTACTATAAGATGACCAGCGTGATAACAGTTATGCCTTAATTTATCTCATTAACTAATATGCCACTAAAATTTTAAAATCCAAATAGTGACAAATTCTCTTTTGACATTTCTGAGACAGCCCAATCATAACCACATGCCTTATTTACAGAGCAACTTACAGCTTCCAAAGGCTTGTTTGGAACAAGCCTACACACACCACTATGTTTGATCTTCACAGCAATCCCCTAAAATGGTCTGGTCAGTTCTTGGCCCCAATATATAGGTAAGGAAAATAGCAACCACTGGTGAAATGAAATCTACTCAAAGTTGTACAGAAATCCTAGGAGAGTAAGCCTTACATGCATCCACTCTGGTCATCTGCCCACATCCCTTTTCTAGGCTTCTGCTATCTCATTTGTGTGAGGCTGGCTGTGATGTCAGCTTCATCTTGCCTTTCCCGAGAGTCTCCACACCACCTCGCTTCCAGGTGACCATCTCCCTCTGGACTCTGAGCCATTGCCAGGCAGCATCTAACAGCTACTCACTCAGAACCCAAAACCTAACAACATCAAGACAAGAGGAGAGCAACAGTCTTGGCTACCTATGACCAATGAAACAAACACAAGACACAAAGACACCGAGAGGTCATGAACAACTGAACGTGTCAAGTAAATTGAGCATGTGACTTCCTTTTATACTGAAGCGTATGAAAAGGAATTCTATTGCTGGTCCTTTCTGACGGAGAGAAGTTACTCACCCTCCCTTAGCTTCAGCTTCCTCACCTATGGAGTGTTAGTACTGCCACAGCCCCTTAAGCTTACTCTAGGCACAAAAGAAGAAAATGTATGGGAAGTGTCTATCAGTACATGGCCCTTAGTATGGCCTTGATAAATATTTACTAAGTTGGAATAAGCCCTATGGATGAAGAAATGCATTAAGTTTACCTTTTTAAATTTTATTTATTTTTTTGAGGTGGAGTCTCGTTTTGTCGCCCAGGCTGGAGTGCAGCTCACTGCAACCTCCGCCTCCCAAGTTCAAGCAATTCTCCTGCCTCAGCCTCCCGAGTAGCTGGGACCTGCCACCATGCCCAGCTAATTTTTATATTTTTACTAGAGACAGGGTTTCACCATGTTGGCCAGGTTGGTCTTGAACTCCTGACCTCAGGTAATCCACCCACCCTGGCCTCCCAAAGTGCTGGGATTACAGGCGTGAGCCACCGCACCTGGCCAGAAATGCGTTAATCTTAAATGTGATGTACAACAGAGAGTAAAAAATATAGGTTGAGTACCCCTTATCTGAAATGCTTGGGACCAAAAGTATTTTGGATCTCAGATTTTCTCAGATTTGGGAATTTTGCATTATATTTACAGGTTAAGCATCCTTAATCTACAAATCTAAAATCTGAAATACTCCAATGAGCATTTCCTTTGAGCGCCATGTCAATGCTCAAAAAGTTTCATATTTTGGGGCATTCAGATTTTGGGTTTTTGTATTAAGGATACTCACCTTGCATATAATTCAATATTATAAATCAGATATCTTGATGTTACGTACTACTATAGTTTACTATCTAAAAAGACACTTAAAGTCATTTTACCAGAATTATCTCACCCTAAACTATAGCTGAATAAACCTCACAAAATATCTCAAGTATCAGCAGTTTGGGCAGTTAGATAGAATAGGTGTGTTTAATTCAGCAGAGAAACTGAGCCTTTAAACGTTATGAAGCAACAAGAACATGGTTATACATGTTACCAGAAGGAGGAAAAAGAGGCAAGTAACTTTCTGGAGAAGAAAATGTGAGAAAGCAGATTGGGATGAGTGTGGGTGGGGAAGTGGGCAGTTAAAAACCTCACCCATAATACAGAGATTCTAGAAAATATAGTGTAATACATAGTCATTCAACACACTCTTAGAGGTCCTAGCACTGAAACTGAATAGCTCTCTGCAAAGTGAACATCCATTTTGAGTACTGGGATATCTCTTCTCTCCAAGAAAATGTAAGAATCTCCTAAATCCTTCTCTTATGCAGGAACTAAATTGTGAACTGTACACTCACCAGTTGATTCTGGTAGGCAGTGACTGCCGTAAAAACTGTTTCTGGAAAGATGAAAGTTCTAAATTCTTCAGACTTCAGGTTGAGCAATGAGGCTGTGTGGTCTTTCTTCTTAATGATGTGCACCCTTGGCTGGTACTTATGCATTGAGTTCAAAATTATCTACAACAAAAAGATGGCAAGTACTGAATTTTACATACTTATACTGCTAAACAGGCGAAATTACAGTGAGGCAAGAAGGAACCAAATGGTCTACAATTTCAAAGTCAATTTTAAGATACGGATCTACCCTTTCCAGCCTTAAGGCAAATCATTTTCACAAGATCCTGCAGAGTCATTGTTGTGAATCACATTTTACCAAAACAACTGCAAACCACACAGGTTGTTTCAAGTGTCCTTTCTAAAATGGTAGGGGGAGGGGTCATCTGAAGGATAAGTTTCACCTATTTTTAAAAATAGTCTTTTAAATACTTTTGGTTTGCTAGTCAAGTTAGACCAAAGGATGCAAGTCTAAATTTTCTAGAATAAGAAATCATATATTCTAAGAGGCCAGACTATTATTTATGGAGAAAAAAATAAAAGAGGTTAGAAAAGCAGTGTGATGTTAGACTGACTTGGGTTAAAATTTTGAATCTGTCAGTTTCTAGCGCTTTAATCCTGAGCCAAGTAATCTCATCTCCCCAGTTCCTAGTTTTCTCATATGCAAAAACAGTACTAACCTCATAGGGCTGGCACACAGGAAACAGGAAGTGTTCAGTAAATGTGAACTGTATTATTATTAGTAATAGAAGGAGTATTTATGAAAGCTTCCTTGATTTCTAACTTCCAGTTATTAAACCAAACTTGAATCATGATAGCCATCTTCCATTCTGTAGCCAGTAAAAGTTGCCAAGTACTCAGAAATCATAAACACACCCTCGTTAACAAGGCAGCCAAGAGATAGTATTTTTCATATATCTTTTAAATAAAATATAAAAGCTAGCCATTATGAATCAGGGCAATAAAATTCAATTTCAGATAGAAAAGGTTTCTCACATCTTCCCTCCTGCCATTCAGACAGCTATCTAAGTCTGCAAAAGTTGGGGGTATGTCTTTCTGGGGATGAGAGGGCTCACATTGTATGCCCTCCTCTCCAAGGAGCTAGCAGAGAGCGCAACTCTCAGGTGACATCACACGATAAACAGCCCGGCAGGACCAATAGCACTCTGCTGGTTGCTGCTGCTAGTCATGCAACTGATGGCTCCCTGGCTTTCTTGGCTAACCTGGGTGTGGGGCATGAGTGTTTCTGCTGATTGACTTTAGCAGAGTTGAATACTAGTCACTGTGGGATAATTGATACATAATCGCTCGCTCTCTATGCTGAGGTGTAAGCCGACCTAAAGTTACAGGGTTTCAACTGCGATTGAATTTTGAACATGCTGCCTTTTTATGATCTCAAACTGGAACAGGAATAATTGAAACAAAGGAGATCTTTAAATGAATCAAAATAATGTTTTTGAATGATAATATGATCTCTTTGTATAATGCATTTATTCCAAGGATTTCAAGCGATTGATCCTCAGCCAAATGCTTGAATAAAGTTGAAGTAACAAAACCAAATATTTTTCTCCTATAACTAATATAAGAAAAAAATTAACATTCATCATATATTTTACTGAGAATATAGGAAGAATTTTCACATCATACCCAGTCACCCATACATACACATACCAAAATGGAATATGCCCTAAGCTTTAAATAAGCTTCTTCTTTCCCCAGTTCTACCACCTGAATGTTAATTTCCTTTGGGGAAGGTTACTGGACAGACTCAGACACCAGACTGAGCCTCTAAGACCCCAGGGCTCCTTGACTCTCTGCGCAAGCCCTCCTGTGACTTGAGGACTAAGGAACACTAATAGAAATGTAGACTCTGCTTCACTCAAGAAATAATTCTTGAGAATAAGAAAGTTTCCTTTTCTGAAACTAAAACTGCATCTGTAAGAGAGGCTTCTTCAGAACCTATTCAAAGAAGTTAGCTTAACAACACAGGATCTAAAAATCTTTCCTTGTATTAATAGTTTTCAGAATACACTAATTCTGGTGATAAAGGGTTATATTAAATATAATTTTTTGGGGGGACAGGGTCTTGCTCTGTCACTGACTTGCAGTGGCACAATCACAACTCGCTGTAGCCTCGACCTCCCAGGCCCAAGTGATCCTCCCACCTCAGCCACCCAAGTGGCTGGGACTAGAAGTGCATGCCACCACATCCAGCTAATTTTTTGTTTTGTTTTGTTTTCATAGAGATGGGATCTCTCTACGTTGCTCTGGCTGGTTTCAAACTCCGCGGTTCAAGCAATCTTCCCAGTTCAACCTCTAAAGTGCTGGGATTACAGTGTGAGCCACCGTGCCTGACCAGTATAAAAGTTTTAAAGCTAAAATGCATATAAGCAACCATCTAAGACTAACCAGTTTTTTAAGGTATAATATTGGTATATCCAGGCTAGACCCTAGAGCTTCTGAAATCTAGTTTAGAGCTATTACTACCCAACGAAGCTGATGCTAAAAGAAAAGCATTTCAATTATGGACAACTGATCTCAAAATGACTCTCAAGTATTTTTGGAAAGACTCAAATAATTCCTCTAAAAGTTTCATATATAGAAAATTCTAGAATCATAAAAGAATTTCATTTATCCCTGCAAAAATTTCCATTAAAGTTCAAGAAATTTTAATATAAATGACATTAAGAATGATCACTGACCTACAAAAAATCACTCCATACTTCATAAATTTTAACCTGTAAAAAAAATTTGTAAGTGGAAGCATGTTTAAAAAAAAGAAAAGAAAATTATGCCAATAACCTTAAAGATAAAGATCAACTTTCTTTTTCAACACATAAAACAACAGAAGCATATTAAGCTACTTCCAATATCCCAACAGCACCACCAGCAGAGTCCTGAGTTAAGTGGCTACCCTGACTTGGTTGTAATAAACACGGTCTCCTGTGGGCAGAGGGGTAGTGCTAGCGCCTAAAGTGATTTATTTGGTTCCAGGTCTAATCCAACCATTTGAAACCAAACCTAGAACTTTCTTATTGTCTACTTATGACCATCTTTGTTGAGAAGGTCTTCAAACACTTCCTCTAAATTACACAGATTTGATCCTTACACATTGTATATATGTATTCAAATATCACATGTACCCCATAAATACGTACAATTATTATGTATCAATTAAAAATTATTAAAAGAAGAAAAAATTATGGAAGTTTATCTAAAGTTCTCTTAGCATAAAATCTAAGACAGAATTTTTATGTGAATCTTTATTTAAGAGCATGAAGTAACATCCCAGCAGTGCCTTAAAAAGGCATTTTATCAAATATGTAAGGACCTGCATCAATGACTTATTTGTTCTATTAAACTACTGATAAGAACACAGAGTTAATTTTTCTTTTTTCCACATTCATAAACTTTATACTGACACAAAATCAAATTGTTTTGTTTTTAATTACAGGGCTTCTTTATGCTTTAATATTCATGAAACTCTCCAAACAAAAAAAAAAAAAAAAAGGTTACATAATGAGTAAACAGCACTTTCCCAAACTGATCCGGACATAAAATCCTTTTGTTATTTCATCTATATGTTCTATAGAACACACTTTGGGAAACCCCCATCAGAGGTCCTAGCCCTATTCTCTTTAGGTTTTATTATCTGATATGTGGCTGACAGAAATTAGATGCTTAACCCAACAACAGGCTATAGTAGCCTCCAAAAAATGTATATTCCCTTAGTTTACTTGGCTCTGGTGGTACAGCAATTTCAGAAGCCTTAGGAGTTCCACGGGACAGAAGATCCCTGACCCTCTTGCATAGAAATGGCATACAGCATAGCATCCCTATAAATGACCTATTAACAAAATCAGTCAAAGTCCCCTGAAGAACACATAAATGTTCCCATAAAATGACTCAGAGACAGAAGGTGGGAAGGGGAGAGGGAAGGCAGGAAGGGACTCAGAGAGAGACAGTTTTGTGTGACTTGTCCATTCCATCTCAGGGAACCTGCACAGTCCAAGGCACGGTACTTACGTGGCCATGTTGATCCAGTTCATTGTTGGTGAGTTTCACCTTTTCAAAAGACACCATCTGTTTGAGTAGTTGTTCCCCGGTGAAAGGAGAATCTGGGTGCACATAGAGCCTAAGAAAGTTAGGAGAAAACTTTATTGAGACTTTTTTAAAAAGTCTGTCTCTGTGGGTTATAAAATGTTCTAATTCTAAGGGAACACATAAACCATGTATAAGTGGTAAATTTTACCGCCCCATATATGTCAAATTTATTACTATTGCAATATCAAAACAACTCTAAAATGTCTAATGTATTTCTTCATGTACCAATTATCTAAATGAGATAATACTTAACAAATTTTCTATTAAAAGCTGAGCAAGCCATTTTTTAAAGGGGTGTGTGTGTGTGTTTTCATCTATCTAGTCCACTACTGGTCTGCTTCGATCAAACGCAAAATCTTCTTTTTGAAAGTGCTTTCAAAAGAAAAACTAGTTTACACTAATTGCATAAGTTCCTATTATAAACGTCTCTTAAATAACAATGAAAACGTAAATAATTTAAACGAGAAAATAATTTTAGAGAACCTATTTATTTAAACTTGAAGGTTTAAAGTTTGTGTTCTTAGTAAATACAAGATGGAGTAATTTTAACATAGGGACATGGAGAACTTCCAGTAGTCCAGAGACCAGCTGGCATTCTGTTCTTCCTGTTACATTAAACACTACCGCTTTCATCATTATCTGTTTATGTGCTCACTGAATGAGAGTTAAAACAAGCTAGACACACTTCACATTATTCAATGTATTTATTTGTAAACAGTGCAAGCCAAAAAAAGCTCTCACTTGGATGGGAAAAATTTGTTTATCATTTATTGATCAGTTGCTACATGCAAGGCAATCTTTTACTCACTCACAGTTAAATGCAGGTCACTTTTTCTACCTGTGATAATCGCCTTAAATGCAGCTGTCTGTAAGTCCCCATCCTGGTATCTTCTTGACTTAAGTCTTTCTGAAGTCAGAGAGAGACTACAGAACTAATGAGGGGGAAGCAAAATCCTTGATTTTATAGGACAAATTCCTTTATCCACGTAACAGGTTATTTACACCTAAATTTTATATAGGATCCTTATAACTACAATTAAACATAAATATTTTTACTAGGGCAAAAGCAAGGGATAGAAGTCATAAAATCTTCCTTGTACTATTTATGTAAAGAACAAGAAATCTGTGCCATGGTTTGTCACACAGAAGACTAAGAATAGAAGAATTCTACACAAATGCTTAAACTCACAAAGTCCACCAGGAGCAATGCACAAAAAGGTTGACAGCACCCAAGATTCTTACCAGACCTACAGAGAAACTGTAAAGGCTTCAGGCATTTGCCTGCCTGTTAATTCCACTGTTTTTAGGAGGAGTGCTCACAGTTGCCTTTCAATTATTCTTTGATAACACAATCACTTTTCAAGTACCATCCTTCCAAGACTGTAGCTTTATAGGTGCAGTTGTTTTACTGATCAGAACCACATTCCTCCCTCTAAAAAAATTCAACATTATTTAAAGTCCTAAAGTTGATGAAATGTTCCCTCTTTAAGGATCACATTTACCACATGTTATAGCTATTAATAAAATATTAATGTATTTAAGTATTATGTACTTTAAAGAAAAGGAGATGTCCTATATGAAAATGTAACATTATTTTAGATTGTAAGTAATATCTTGCTTATTATTACAATCAAGTGATACTGTCAAGCATTATTTCTTCTGATTAGGAATGACTGACCAATGAACTTCAGCCTGGAATAAAATGTTTCAAAGTCCTAAAACCATGGGAAATTTTTGTCATCAGTACAAAAATTATCAACTCCCAAGTTCTTCGCTTTTCTCTTATGGAGATAGATAAATAGCAAACTATTTATTTTAATAATAAATAGTTGCTAAATTATCTACAATATTTTTATCCCATAAGCTAAACATTTTTATTTAATATCAATCTAAAAAAGCTGAACTAGGATGAATGAAAAAAATATACAGGAAGCCCCTCCTCTCAAGTCCCCCAGGGACTTAAAATTCCAGCAATAGCTTAAACATGCTTCAGTTAAGATAGTGCATTGGTACACACTTTTCTTCTCCAACCAGAACAGATTAGTAACATAAACAGGGCATGTCATATTTCCAAAGTCCTGCTGGCCTGCATCAGCTCCCCATACCTTCAGATAGGAACAAAATGTATGTTTAATAAGAGTGATTAACTTCTTAGAGGAAAGACTGGAGGGCAAAAAAAAAAAAAAAAAAAAAAAAAAAAAGGAGGGTTTGCTTGTAGAAAATGGTTAGGAATCTGCTGAAATACTCTCTCCGGTTTAAAATGATATTGAAAAGTTTGGAAGGAAGCTCAAGAATAATAGTAAACAATTTAATAGTAAATAGAAAAGAACACTAATTTTATTAATTTTAATATCTATTATAAACTGGTGAATCTTACTCAACTAAAAAAAAAAAAAACCAGCAGCAATTGTTTTTTAGATTTTCTTAGTCTTGACAGTTATTTAATATACTGATTTGAAAGGGCTGGGAAGACGCCCTTTCTAGTCTCTTCCGAGAATGGAAAACTCTGAGAGATTGCTTTTAATCTCTTTTCTAGTGCACTTAGCATACGATAAGCTCAATAATACAATAAACTACTAATTAAGCTGAATATTCTATCTGAACCATATGTGTAATTGTCTGTTGATTCTCTGTCTTGACTATGACTCCAGACTAGACACAAAGTACCAGCCGTAATTTAACAGTTCCCTAATCTGTACATTTAAATAAATTCTTAGCTCTGATATGAACTTTCAATCACAAAAGTCATTAAACAACAAAAATTACTCATTAAACATAAACAACAAAAATTAGTCATTAAAGAAAAGTTATGAGGCTGGGTTTTAAAATCCCAAATATAAAGTCAGCTAATATGTTTTGTTTTGTATTAAAGTAGGCAGTTACATTCCTGTAACTTCATCTATTATTCTTCATATAAGCAAGTGTATGTTTTCCTGTTGGAATGCTCATTTGGTTAAAACAATAACAGTAAAGGTTTGCATGTGCTTTTTTAAGGATGGTACTCCTGGAAACTGTATTAGCAATGAATTTCACAAGAGTAAATATGCATGATCCCTAATAAGTTAACTGAGGAATGTTTCATGTAAAAGAACCTGTTATTGAATTACATTCATCCGCTAAAATTATAAAGGGAGAAAATAAAACTTAGCTTTTTTTTCTTTTTTACTTAAAAATCTCTGAACCTTTATTGGTCAAAAACAACTGAATTTTACCTAAATGGTGTTTATTATATGCAGTTATAACTATATGATTAACAAATACTTACTATAAGCAACCATTTTACTAACATACACTTTTCTAAAAAGAATTTTAGGACAACCATTTCATCAGTAGGTTTATTCACTCTGGTTTTAAGCAGCAATTAGAGAGAATGTCTATATTTATATTTGTATTTATACAAAATGGGTCCACATTTCTAACTGAAATTTAAGAAAAACTTTGAAATGAATTGCTGCCTAACGAAACATAAACTTAAGGACAGTGTTTTCTCTAGGCACAAACTACCTTTCTCAGAGCCTAGCCCATATTTTGTGTAGTCAATCCTGGAGTGTCCAGGCTTGGAATGCTCTCTTGCCAGAGCCCGTTGCTTTAAAAACACACTTGCTTAAAATTCACACAAGCCAGAAACATTCTGACAGAAGCGTTAACAATTTTCTCGGTGAAAAATCCGGAGGCACGAACCTGGCTGGCAACGGCGGGTCGGCTTTGCCAGCCACCAGCCAGGAGGACCGGTGGTAGGCGTAGCGGTACCTCTTGTTGTCCACAGGGACGATGTCCATCAGGACTATGTACTTGGCCTCAGGATCCACCCCCGAAAAGGACACCCGGATGGTCGGAAACATCCTCCTGACAGAGAGAGACAGAGAATGGGCCCTGTTTATGCTGCCTAATAAACTGGCCTGAATTAGGAAGAGAGGAAGGGAGGGAGGGAAAGGGTCTGACTCCCCTCTCTATCTGGTCCACAAACCCCTCTTTTGTTTTGTTTACAGCCTCAGAGAAGTGAATACAGAAACAGGGTTTTCTTCCAAGCCTAGATAATTTTAAGAGTCACCTTTGCAAGTGTTAATTGCTAGGTGAAAACGTGTGGGTGGAGGTGGGGGTATGTTTTAACACCAGAAGGTCTGTGATTAGGGAAAACCCTATTCATTTTAACGATCAAGCACATTAAGTGTCCAAGGAACCGACGTCCCTGGAGCTGGCCCAGTCACACAACTTACCCGCATCCCAGCCAGAAAACTCTGCTCTTGCAAAACAAAAGCCAAAAGCGGAGGTTTCTGGGAAGGATTTCTCAGAGACCCTGCAGGTATTTTCTGCAGTCCCAAGAGCTACAGCCACCAAGTTTTGCCGGCCTCTGCCCCATCCCAACTTCCCTGCAGCCCTGCAGCTTCCTGCCTGGCCAAAGCCCGCCGGGCTCTGGCGCCAAGAGGCCCCGAGCAGTGCTCCTTCCTACAGGGAATTTTATCGTTTCAAATTTCATTCTTCCGCCCAGATTTTAATTTCAGTCTTTAATGGGAGCTGGCAGCTTTTGCAAATTGAGGCTGATAAAAGGGAAGCTACTCACCTATCTAGAAGCACCCAGCAGCTCACCAGGCACCCCTGGCACAAATTCCTCCTCCTTCCAGATTCCGACCCTCCACCCACCAAACCTTCTCCAGCTCCAGGGAAAGCAGACCACACCCTTCAGGCTTAGTATGGCTCCCTGGTCCCTGTGCCCTTCTCAACAAAGCCAGGTTGGAACTTCCCATGACCAAATCCTGAGAACGCAAATGACTAGACATCCTGTAGCTCTTAACGCAAGCTGGTGGAAAGAAGCTGCCCTGGAGCTAAGCTGTCTCTCTGCTCCACGACCAGCCAGCTCTCATCCAGTTCCTGGAAGCACCCTCAGCTCCCCAGGGAGTGTCCTGACTCTCCACCCCCAACCGCCGAGTCCCAACTACCTGCCAGACTTGGTGATGATCATCTCGGTGCCCAGCTCATGGAATTTGTCCCAAAGCTCCTTGGTTTCCAGGCTGCAAGCGATTTTGGCCATTTCCTCACTGGGGATGATGGGGGTGGTGGGGATCAGCGGCTCAGTGCACAGAGAGGAGGAAGACGGGCTGCTGCCACCGCCTCCACCAAACTCCCCGTGAGCATCCAGGCTGGTCAGCTCACCCAGAGGCTGGGCACAGGACGACTTCTCCACAAATTGCTCTGGAGGCAAAGAGAATTGTGAATGACAGCTGACACTGTTCAACAAGGAACGATCTGGAAAGAACAGCATAACCAAAATGGTCACTTGGATTTGACTCAGGAAAAGTTAAGCTCAGAAACTCCAAGCAGGGCTCTAGGAATGACCTATCACTGTATAAAATTACCTGGGATTCCCACAGAGTAGCATGCCCAGTGTTTCCTGACCAAACCGGTGAGTTCTAGAATGACTACTTGTCTCCACCAGTACTGCAACGGACTTTGGGAAACAAAAATGTAAGAGAGGAAGAAGGGAAAGGTGATGATCATGAGGGAAAGGTGATGAGCATGAAGGATGCAAAGCAAATATTCCTATTGTCATCTCTCCCAAATTCTGAACTTTGTAGCTCATGGAACTGATGCCAGTCCTGCCTCTTTGACAACCAGGAGAAATTTTTCTCCATGGAGAGACCAAAGGAGCAAAGAGATCAGCACCTTCCTCACTTGGAGAGGAACTTTCCCTTCCTTCCTGGAGCCCTCTCTCCATAAGAGAAAAGGAAAGGAGGATAGGAGGGTGAAAGAAAAATGGGGAATGTGGTTTACAAAAATCAGTCACTTCACCTCTGTGCCTGACTTTCAGTTTTGTAAGCTTTATGATGAGAGTTAGAACATTTTTGTAATATTCCTCCCAGCCCAAGATCTTAGGAAAGATGTTAGCGTACAGCTTGCTAAATCACAGGAGCAGGTTCTGTGGGCCATTTTCAGAAGAGGCTTAGAAGAATTACTTGAGGGGTGATGTATAAAATTTTTCTGTCTCCCAAAAAGGTCCTAGAAGTGAGGAAAACCACCTCAAACCCAAGCCAGCAGTGTATTAAAGTGAGACAAATGCTCTGCCATCCACCACCAGGCTGGAATACTGCTGCCTATGAACCAAACATTCTCCCCCACAGCTGATAAGGGCCTCGGACTACACCAGTCACTTCGATGGAATACAGGGAGACTTTTGTAATTGTCCCAATTATCTTCCATCCCTTAAAAAAGAAACTACTTGAATTTGCAATGTGAAGTTGATCTCTTAAGAGTCCTCAAGAAATCAAAGCCAGTTCTAAATGTATGTATGTGCATGTATATGATGTGTGTGGGCATATGGGACACGCACAGATCATAAGGTGTTTTATTTCCTACACATCTTTGCATGAAGAAAACAGGAAACAGAATGGCTTTACTTTTACTTCTCATGCAATGAAAATCCAACCAATGAAAATGTTTTAACTTAAGAATAATCAAATTAACTGCCATCCTGATTTTTTTCAGATTAAAGAAAGGAAACTATACCATAACAAAATCTTATTTTCTACTAATATTTTCAGAAACACATTCACACAATGTCTTCGGAGAGAATTAAGAAGTAGTCTTAATGATTTTTTTTTTTTGCTGACAACTGAAAGAGGCAAACTCCCTAAGCCACAGACTGACCAGTGTATCAGGATGGGAAGTAGGAAAGGAAGAAAATGAAATAGAAATGATTCAGCTGACTGAAGCTGTTCTTTTAAATAGACTTTGTATGTTTAAATGGGCAATCCTGGGACACACTGGGCTCCCCCTCCCCACTCTATAGTTTGCTTCAACAAAAGTCCCACATTCTCTCTTAACAGAACTTTTAGGTGTTTCTCTTGCTGGAGTCCTTGGCTTGCAGTCACCTCTGTTGAACTGGCCAGTGTAAGGAACAAGAACACCAGCGAGTTCTTTCAGAGCCCATCTCAAAAGCCAGGAGAGGGATACGCATTTTGTAGACTAGTGCCTACGTGTGTGTGGGCACGGGGGTGGCGTTGGAGTTGTCAGCTGGGCATGGCTTTAAAGTTCAAGAGTCACAAACTTCGATATAAGGTGGTTTTTCTCAGAAAAATAAAGAGAGAAGGAAGTAATGTTGAAATGACAGTGCAGCTGGGGCTGGCATGTTTCCCAATTTGCTGTCTACACGTCTGTCAGGAATTTTCACCTGAAATCCTCTATGTAACAAACTGAGATATTTACAAAGTATTCAGGGGCCCCTAAACAGCAATGCATAATGTTGAGAAGTCGCACAATATAACTTTGAAATTGTTAGTTATATTTTTCTGAACAATTGGAGTTTGTTTGATTGATTGTCTCCATTCTTTGGCAGGTTTATATTTAGATGGGAGGTCAGTGGGAAGAACCAGGGGAAGGGAGTGAAAACTTGGAAGACAGATTTTTTTACTTTTATTTTTTTGACATTCTGTTTTCTAGAAATCTACTAGTTTCTTTTTCCTTGGTTTCAAGTAGCTACAGGAATTTTACTTCTCTCTTTATGCCCAAGCACCTTATTTTTGATCTCGAATACTTCCTTTTCTTCATGTTATCATTATATTGGATGTGATATGTTAAAGTATTGGGAAGGAAAGAGAGAAGAAAGGAAAAATTGGGGAGGGTTAAAAAAGAAAAACTAAGTTTGCTATCTGATTTTCACATTGTAGGGATACCAGATGATCAGGCTGTGTAATAATTATTTCCTGAGGATCCATGAGGCAATGATGAGAACGCTTTTTTTTCTCTCAGTTGTAAAGAGATTTTTAAATATTTACCTTGGGCTGGTTCTCTTCCATGTAATTCACTAGTGTTAAGAAGAACATAATTCCTATTCTCCCTTTACTCCTAACCTAGTGTCTTCTATAAATGGTAAAGGTTGTTAAACAAACAATATAACTAAAAGTAGAGGAATCTGAGAAATGGTTACTGGTTAGTGTTTTTGCCAACTTCAACTGAAAATGACGAGTTATAAAATGATGTCTTGGTGATAAGTATAGAGCTTCAGTGAATAAAATGGTTCGTGCAGGGAGAACTGGCTTTTTCTGCTCTACAGTGGTTTCAAAGAGCTTGCTTTGTTTTGTCTATTCAAGTCAGAGGAAAACCAAAATTAAACTGGTTTCTTATGAAGTCGTTTAGCGTCTCCTTGGTTTCAAACGCACAAGCAGGTGTTACATGCACAGTAACTCCTGTTGAGCCTTAAAAGCGGTTTTATTATTATTTTTCCTTGAATGTTTTTATGCCAACAAACATACACACATACCATATGTCCGATCTGATATATGGATTCTAGAAACTGGGGAGCCCGACAGACCCAGATATAAGATGCACACCCATAGCATTCAACAGACTGGAGCCTCCAAAGAAAACCTGGACCCAAAAGAAAAAATCTCCCACCCGCGATGTATGGCTCATGATTTGAGCATCAGACGCTGCTGCGAGCCGCCTGCAGCCAGGGGACAGGGGCAGAGACGGATGCGCAGCACCCCAAGTCCTCGGCGGACAGCCGGGTAGCCCAACTTACCCAGGGGTTTGATTGTGTTCTCCGTCGCCTCCTTCTCCTTAGAGCCACCGCTCGACATGAGTGCGGCAATGGAGAAGGCGTTGGCCCGGGAGGAGAGTTGGGGCTTGGGCGATGCCGTGAACTCCATGGTCCCCAGCACGCGGTCCTGGCCACGGACTGGGTCGTCCGAACTGCCGTCCAGATTCCCCAAGGGAGACAAAGACCCGAAACACAGGGCAAAGTTTCCGAGACCAGTTACAGCGGGGCCAGGGACTCCAGAAGTGTCAGCTCCAACCTCTCCAAAGCTGCACACTGGCCCCTATCCCCCACCGCAAAGCCCCAGAGCCGCAGAGACTTCGAGGGCAGCCGGAGAGGAGAGGGCCCACCCAGCACTACAGCGGGTGCGCACGCCCCGGGGCGCTCGGCAGGACGACAGTCTGCACAGCCCAAAGGCGGAAACAAGCATCAACTGCACAAAGTCCTGGGGTCCTGGAGCATTCCCTCCGTGTCCTTCCTCCCTCTGGGGCTGGGGACAGCCGGGACGTCTCAGGCTAAGGTAGCCACCAGCCGAGCGCGGCTGCTAGGGCGCGAGCGAGGGGAGCGCGGCGCGGAGCCACGGACACTGAGCGCTGGCGCTTGCTGCCCTGCGCCTTAATTTGCTGGCGGCGGCGATCCCGGAGGCCCGCAGCCAGTCAGCGCGGTCCCACGTCACCGCTTCCTGATTCCGCCGCCGGGGGCGGGGCCGCGGGCCGGGTGCCGAGGACGCGCCTAGGGCGCGGCGTCCGCGTGGCCTGAAGCCCCTGCTGTACCGTAGCCCAGCACAGGTTCAGAGAAAAGGGTGCCTCCACTAGGCTGACGCAGCGGCCATGGACACCCCCGCTTGGTCTCGCAGCCCCGGGCGGGAGGGCGGTGCGCGCTGTCGGGAGAGGACCCATCATCGCGGCCTAACGCCCGAGATCCGGGCATGGCCCAGTTGGGGAAGCTATGACCAGACCAGAGGAAGCCTCGGGAGTTCTCGCTTTTTCCATTCTTTTTCTTACCTGCGCTCAAAGTTCCAAAAAAAAAGTAGGGAAGCGCTCACTAGAGCGGAATCCGGCGCCTCTGAACCGGCGCCAACTGGCCAGGTCCATACTCGGGGCAGATCCCAGGGCTGGGACTCTCATTCGATGGTCCCAAATTTGATCTCCTTGACAGTGGGCTTGAGCAAATGCAGCCCTGAAAAAGATAAGCTTAGCGAGAGCTGCGGGCATTTGGCAAAGGATGCTGCTCTCAGAACCGTTGCTTCTGCTCCTCACCAGTGCGTCTCTAACCTGGGGCTCCTCTTTTCCCTAGAGGGACGCTGGAAAATGGGGCGGCTGCCGAAAGGAAGGCGAAGGTCAGGGCGCGGAGCCCTACAGTGACCACGCGACGCGCCGTGGGAGAGTGCGAACCTTATGGTAGCGCCCGGACTAAGCGGACACGGACACCTCTGGTTTTACAAAGGCGGCTGTGACCAGGACTTCCCACGGCCTTGTTGGAGGGCGTCCTATTAGCCCTGCTCAGCCTGAATAACTCAAATTCTCTGAATTCGCAGGGTAATCCGCTTCGCTTGGAGCCGTGTAAACTCAGGCTGACATACACACTCAAGCTGTACATGTAAATATTTGTTCTCTTTTCCAGCCAGTTGGTCTAGCTATTAGAAGCCTCTTCATGGATCTTAAAATAATAATAATAATAATAATAATAATTTTTAAAATCCCAACTTTTCACTGCATCACCCCTTACTCCTGAAATAAATTTGTGGGGGAAAAACGGCAAGTTAAAATAGCTGTCGAAAAAGTTTGTGTGAACAAAATGACATCTGGAAGAGTCGTGATTTCAGCCTGTCTTGGTCATCGTGTATCAATAGTTTTTAACAAGGTGTTGGATGAAGGTGACTAAAAAATGCATCCTGATATCACTATAGAAGTACGAAGTGTCGATTTATAAATGTTTGGGGAAATTCGTAAAACCATAGACTTTGGTGCTGGAAGGAATTTACGCTGTCGTCTAGCCGGTCTCCAGGTGCGTTTGAGAGAGAAAAATAGGGCCCGACGTGGCAGAGCGCGCATCTCCCCCAGTCCACTCCAGCGGCTAAAAGCAGATGGAAGGGCAGGACTCACACTCCGGGCCCCACCCTGATCAGTCCCTGGCCCTGCAGCTGTGGCTGGGCTGTTAGCTGAAGAGCCAAAGTAGAGTTAACGACGACGGCTGGCAAGCAGAGGGCTTTCAGATTAAACCGCAGGATGCGTCTGAGGATCCGTTTCTATTCTTGAATTTTTTGCTGGTTTTGAACAACCCAGACCCAATCCAGACCCCTTTTTTGGTTATTAAAGTCCCCCACCCCAACCCATCTCTCCCCAGACACACCTTCTCAATGTAAGTGACATTTCTTTGTATTGAGTGGAAGGAGCACACTGATTCCTTTCCTATAGCAAATGCTTAGGATTTGTCCAGAAAGAAAGATTTCCCTCAAGAAGTGGGGATTTGGGGAGGTCGGGGGATGTTATGGTTAGTCTAAACCTTTATACGTGCTTCAACAGGGCGTGGCAAACCTTGTTAGCTGAATTTAGTTTTCAAAAACTTGCCGCAAAATTATACTTCATTAAAAAAAACCTTGCGATTGTTTTTCTATACAGAGGAAAACTGTGTCCTTTCTTAATTACCTTAATGATTCTGACTGGAATCTGAATAATATCATGAGAGGAACATTTTCAGAAAATTTGATGAAGCAAGGGGAAAACTGAATTGCCACGAATCTGTTTCCTCCTTCTTTCCAAGTGCCTATGCGGCCTTAGCCCAGCTCTGTGTCTCTTGTGTGCAGGAACCCCCGACTGCTCATCCTACTACAGGTAAAACACTATACAAGAAAAGATGAGTGATCTTTAGGAGGCAGGCGGCAAACGAGAGGTATTGAAAAGGCCACTTTAAACAAATCCGGGTGACCCGTTTGGGGATCTCTAGGCTATGCATCTTGTTGGTGTTGAAACCTCGGCAGTAAAACATATGCTGCAACATTATTATCGGGAGCACACTCTCCCTCCTCCTAGATTTATTGCCTTTGCAAATCAATATGATGCCATAAAACGGGGAACCGGTTCTGGGCAGAGAGGTGCTGTGGAAGGATGATTCAAAGCTTTCCCAAAGAGGAGAGTGGGGAGTTCTGAGGTCCCTTCAAAACCCCACTGACAGCGCAGGTTAACAGGTAAAACCACCCGGGGGTTGGAACAAAACAAGCACGTTAACACATCTCTCTAGGCCCTTCTCAGGCTGACTGCTGGCAGCGGAGGCTGCTGAAGTCTGAATGTTAACTTTAACACACGCATTAGCCCTTTGTGTAGGTTACTAAACCTCTCAAAGCTTCAGTTTCTTCATCTAAGAATAGGGCCAATAGCTCATTCCTACCTGGAATTTGCTATTCCTTTGGATTAATGCCCTAATGTGTATTAAAAGCCTAACATACAACACTCACAATAAACCCAACATAAGTAAAGCATAATATAGAATTTTAATCACATTTAATTTTGAACTGCAAATTCGCGATTGGAGAGACATGTCTCTTGGGTGCTCATATATAATGTAGTTTTGGAATGTATACAGAGCATTGGGGCCACAGGAGGGTATTGGATTGTTATTTACATCCCGTTTAAACTTTGGAGCCTAAGAATGTAAAATTTTGTTATACATCTGAGTTTGGTTATATGGAATTTGATTATATGGAAGACTGGAAGATGTCTCCTTATATACACCACTCTTTCAAATTCTCATTTGTAGCTCCCGGAACTCAGAAGACAGTCGACCCCCAAAACCGTCCAGGAAGTAATCGGTTTCCGGCTTTGGACAAGGGTCCCTCGCTTAACGAATGCTAACGAATGTTCCCTTAGCTGGGAGCTGCGGGGACCGGTCCCAGCAGGTCTAACCAACCGTCCGCAGGCGCCTTGGTCGAAAGCAGGGCCGAGACGGTGGGGTGGGGTGCCAAGCGGAGGGCACAGCCTGGCAGCCACCGTTGGCGGCGGGAGAGAAGGGGAGAAGGGAGACCCGCTTCTCAGCACAAGGGCATCTGTCTACTCCCGAACATGGCCAGAGATTCCCGTCCGCAGCCTCCCTCCAGCTCCTTCTGGTAGACGCTTTAAAAGCTACAGTAACGGGCTTTGATGCCTTTGGATTCCTAAATTAGGTTTACGGAACAGGAAAGACTTCCGAAGCACAGTGGAGAGAGGAGCAGCAGCCCCTCCAAGGCCCCTGCGGCGCGTTCCCGGGCGCGCCGAGAGCAGCGCGCGGCTCCGTGCCCCATGGGGAGCGCGCGGCGCGGCCTCGGATTTCACCGCGAGGCTGGAGGGCGGGTCCGAGCCTTTCCTCCGAGGATCCTTCCGACGCACACCCCGCGGGTTTTAGTTTCTCGAGTCACAGTGGTCCCGGCGAGGCGCTCCCTCAAAGCCAAGCTGCAAAAAGTGGCCGGGAACCTCCAGGCCTCAGGCCGACCCAGGAAGCCTCCGGACCAGAGAGCTCAAGGCGCCCTTGTCCACGTCTTGCTCGAAGGGCAAAGCAAAGAGCCAGCTCCCCTCAGTGCCCCTGAAGTTCCTGGGTGGGGTGTGCGTGCGCGCGTTCCGCCCGAGACCTCAGTCGCGCCCAGCTATAGCGCGGAGAAAGTAATGTCGTGTGGGCGTAAGGCGCATCGCGCCCATCTCCAAGGCCGGTGTGGCTAAGAGGTGTGGGGAAATGTCCTTCCGGCAGAAGCCCGCAGTGCTGCGACGTTGACCCGCTTGGCCTCGGGCTCAGGGCGGCGGGCAGCCCAGGACGCAAGTAGTTTCAGCAGTCCAGCTACGTGGGCGCGGGACCCCAGGCCACCCCACGTGTCCGCTCTGGGCCTCCTCCGGGTCCCACGGCGCGGCGCCTCCAGGCCTCTTAGGGTCTTCCCCGGGTCCCCGCGCGCCAGGCCCCGCAGCCTGCTCACAGGACCGCCCTCGGAGCTGCGACCCTCTCGCTCCTCCCCGCGGCCATTAGCTCCGCGTTCATTCCCCACGAGCTCACTACCGCGGAGACCGGCCCTCAGAGCCCCGGGCCTCCTCCCGGCAGTGGAAGAATCAGCGCGCTACCATTGGGTGCAAAACTCGCAGCGTGATCAAGAACTGCAAAATAAAAAAGAAAAGAAAAATCTCTTCTGATCCTGTGGGCTTGGAAGCCAGGCCTACTCTCCTCACACCCCTGCCCCTTCCTTTCTCCTCCTTCCCCTCCTCCTCCGCCAAGCGTGCTCCCACCTTCCTTCTGCAACCTTCCTCTTGGGCCATCGCCGCCTTTCCAAGGGCCCAGCTGCTGATGTACACTATTTATTTTGTACATCATGATTTTTGTATGAATTTTGACTTTCAGAATTACTGCATTAAAATATTATTTTCTTGACAACTGAGTTTGTTGGCATCTAAATTGTGGGTTCTCACCCCGGTCCTGGACCTGTCAGGAAGGTTAAGAATTTCATCGAAATTACACAGATCATAAGCAGTAGAACCAGGCAAATCTGTGGCTTCGATCATAAGCAGTAGAACCGGGCAAATCTGTGGCTTCGAAAGCGTCGTTCCTACCGTTACATCGCACACGGAACTGTTAACCTGGAACCCCATGAGGGGGAGAAAAACGGACAAAGGACACATTTCC